GCGGCCTGTTGGCCATCGGCTCGCAGCTGTCCCCCGAGGTGGGGAGCTCCGGGATCGAGATGCTGGAGACCGACACCTTCAAGCTGCACTGCTTCCAGACGCTGACAGGTACCGTCCGGCCGCGGGCACCCGGCGCCGTGCTGCTTGGCCGGGGCTGGTGCGGAGCTTGGCCTTCCCCGTCTGTCTGTCCTTGTGGCTCCAGGGATCAAATTCGTGGTTCTGGCGGACCCGAGGCAGGCGGGGATAGACTCTCTTCTGCGCAAGATCTATGAGATTTACTCCGACTTTGCCCTGAAGAATCCTTTCTACTCCCTGGAGATGCCAATCAGGTAAGGAGGAAGCCCACTTCCGAGAGTGCAGCCACGACCCCTCGTCACTCTCTGCCTGGGCAGTAACGAATGCTGACAGCCCTGCAGTGGAGCAGCAAAGCGGACCCAGAGGTTGAGGGAAGGGGAAAGGCGCAGCGCGCTGCTGCGGGGATGGGACACCGACCTGTGCTTCTGCCAGTGCTGCTCGGTGGGGGAAGGGGGAGGTGGTCTTCCCTGGTACAGTCCCTGCTGTCCTCACGCAACACTTGAGCCCATAGGGGAAGCCTTAGTCATAATTAACGGCCAAGCCAAAGTTTGACAGCATTCAGGCGGCTGCCTCGCGACTTACGGAATCTCTCCTTGAAGGACGCAGAGCCAAAGGGTGGGGAGATCCCGTCTTTGTTAGCCTGTTCTGTCATCCCCTTCTGCTTTTCTGACTGTTGCAGATGCGAGTTGTTTGATCAGAACCTGAAGCTCGCTCTGGAGGTGGCAGAGAAGGCGGGACCCTTTGGACCTGGATCGTAGAGAAGGCCTCGCCCCTCACCCCGACTCCTTTCCCTGAAGGGCAGGGTGTCTCTCTTCCCCAGCTGGCCTCTGCCAGAGCTCTCTCCTCCACAGCAGAGACTGCGTATCCTCAAAGCATCCTTCACTGTCTCCCAAGATACCGTTTTATCCCCTTTGTTGTGAAATTTACCTTAAACAGACTTGTTACTGCTGTTTACATTGGGCCACAGAGGCTTATTCTGCTGTCGCGGCTCCGCTGCCCTTGAATGAAGAAAGAAAGATAAGGTGTGGGCCCATGGCCTCACCGCAGTCGATGGTTTTCTCATTTCCTAATTGTACATATGTATCATTCCTGTATAGCTCTAACTTATGGTTCTGCAGAGGCCTTCTCTGTAGAAGTAATAAACGTTCCTTAAACAAGTGGTGGCCACTTGTTTGCTGTGGGCAGGGTGAATTTGCGCCCGTAGCACCCACCTCGAGTGTAAGCCGCTTCGGGTGGTTCTGCTTGCACTGTTCTCCGTAAGACAGCCAGAGCCCATGTGACACTGCTCCGTTTTTATTTCACAGATAGTAGAAGATCACATAATTAAGTACAAAATGCAATTCGCTTCCATTGTTTTAATTAAGGCTGGCTACCTACTCTTGCAACCGAGCTGTTCAGCAAAGTACCTGCATGCAGGTTCTGCACCAGCTGAACTTGTCTCTTCCAGGGAAAAAAAGAATGGTCAACAAAATACCAGTTAAAAACCTGTGCCGACTTATTGCAAAGAGCGCTGGGCCTGCCTGCTCGAGGACACTGGCTGTTGGCGGTGGCTCTGCTATGGCCGAT